CGCGCGCCGCCCTTCGCCGAACATCCTCCCTGGCTGCCGGCTCCCCGCTCGAAATCCGCCTCGCCTCGCCTGCCGCCTCCTCCCGCCACACACACACACACACACACGCACAGAAGCTCGCACAGAAGCACGCACCACCGTCGCTCCCATGCACGGCGTCGAGTGCGACCTGCCGGCGGCCGGTCCGGCACCGGCGCCGGCCCCCCTTAAGACCCCGGTGTCGGCGGCCCTGGCCCCCGGGGACACCGGGCTCCGGCTGAGCCAGTCCTCTGGCCGGTCGATCCCGGCGCCGGACCCGGTGGAGGGCTGCCACCCGGTGCTGGTGGCCCCGGTCCGGCTGGCCAATCTCAAGCACCTCCCGAAGGAGTACCGGGCGGCGTTTGGCTGCGCGCCCGGGTCCTTCTCCTCGGCCCTGCGATCGGCCACGCCCTCGGTCCTGGCGAATCCCGGGCTGGCGGCCACGGCGCATGCGCGTCCGGCCGGCGGGCCGGACCGGGCGGCCGCCAGCGGCGGCCCACTGCCCCTGGCCCAAGATCCGGCCTTCAGCCCGGCCCCCCCGGGCGGCCCGGGCGGCCCCTCGCCCGGCTGCCCCTCGGCCTTCAATGGCCGGATGTACACCCAGGTGCCGGGCGTGTGGGCGGCCGGCACGCCGGGCCCCACGGCGGCCGGGGCCGCGGCAGCCGGCCTCCAGCCCGGCAGCTGTGTGCTCCTGCTGCAGGCCGGCCATTCGCGCCTGGCCATCCACACCCTCGGCGAAAGCCCCATGTGGCGGCTGTCGCGCGAGCGCCGGCACACCACCTGCCAGTGCCCGGACTCCAGCCGGGCCCCCATCCGGACCCGGTCGCAAACCCTGCCCGGGGCCGGGGCGTCGGCCGGCACCGAGGCCGGCTGCCCGGCGTGCGACGACCGCCTGCTCCACTGCACGGCCCTGCTGCCGATCTACTTTGAGAACATCTACGCGGTGACGGTGTCCGGGACCCTGCCGGCGGCCGGGCCGTCGGCCGGCGGCGGCGGCGGCGGCAGCAGCGGCGGCGGCGGCGGCGGCCCGGCCGGGTCAGCCTCCTCCTCGGCCCTTCTGTCCTTCGCCCGGCGCCGGGGGTCGGCCGAGGTGGCGGCCTCCGCGTCGGAGCCCTTCCTGCCGGGTGCCGCCGGGGCCCCGGGCGCCGATGCCCGGGTCCTGGACATCCATGTGCTGGTGTCCCGGCACCAGTGTTACGATCAGGCCCCGGACACCTTCAGCCATCTGGCCCCGGGCAAAGGTGCGTCCGTCAATGCCGCCACCGGGGCCCTCCCCCCCCCGGGCCGAGCATCGGCTCGCGCTCGCCCACGTCGCTGTCGACTGTGGGCCCGGTGTTGTCGCCGCTGTCGTCGCCGCCGCCGCCGCCGCCGGGCTTCCAATGCCACCGGCCCCGCCGGCCCCGCCGGCCCCGCCGACCCCGCCGACCCCGCCGACCCCGCTGACCCCGCTTCCCGCCACCCGCCGCCGGGTCCCGATGGCCGATCAGATGTCTCCCGGCGCTTTTCCTTTGTCTTTTCCACCGCGGCCGAGTGTGCCCTTTGGCAGACAGCCATCCAGGCGGCCATGCGCCGGGCCCCGATGGCCACGCGCAGCCGCATGTGCATCGCCGGGCCGCCGTTGGCCCCGGGCCTGCCGTTCGCGCCGCCGCCCGGGCCCAAGCCCCGGGTGGCCGCCACCCCGGCGACCCTCTTCAATGGGGCCGCGCTGCTGCCCGAGTCCCTGGCCCCGAGGCCCTTTGTGGCGCATTTGGTCGCGGCGGCCGACGCGCCTGCCCTGGCCGGGCCCCTGGCCGATGCCGGCCGGCCACAGGACACGGCCTTTGCCCTGGACGAGGGGCTGCTGCGCGAGCAGGCCATCGACCCGCTCTTTGCCCAGGATCTGTGTGACATCTTCAACCGCCGGTACCGGCCGCCGCCGCCACGCCGCGTGCTCTGCCTGATCAACCCCTTCGGCGGCCGGCGCAAGGCGGTGCAGATCTTCCGCGCCGAGGTCGAGCCGATGCTTCGCCTGGCCGGCCTGGATGTCACAACCATCTGTACGAGCACCCGGGGCCTGTCTGCCTGTCCTTTGTTGCCCTCTCGCCCTCTCCTCGCAGGCCCTCGTGTCGATTGTTGCATGTCCCGCCTGCTGCCTGGGCTTTCTCTCTCTCTCTTTTTATCTTTTTATCTTTTTCTCTCTTTCTCTCTTTCTCTCTTTTTTCTTTCTCTTTCTCTCTTTCTCTCTTTCTCTCTTTCTCTCTTTCTCTCTTTCTCTCTTTCTCTTTCTCTTTTTCTCTTTCTCTCTTTCTCTCTTTCTCTTTCTCTTTTTCTCTTTCTCTTTTTCTCTTTCTCTTTTTCTCTTTCTCTCTTTCTCTCTTTCTCTTTCTCTTTTTCTCTTTCTCTCTTTCTCTCTTTCTCTTTCTCTTATTCTCTTTCTCTTATTCTCTTTCTCTTATTCTCTTTCTCTCTTTCTCTCTTTCTCTTTCTCTTATTCTCCTTCTCTCTTTCTTTCTCTCTCTTTTTATCTTTTTCTCTCCCTTCCTCCCTCTATCTCCCTCCTTCTCATCCCCCCTCTCCCCTCTCTTCCCCCCTCTCCCCTCCCTTCCCCCCTCTCTT